AATTTAAAATACATCCTGTGTCTGACAGACTGTGAACACCACAGAAGTGGAAAATGACAGGCAGATGGCATCTATCTTATGCGCATTCTACATGCTCCTTTGGATGTTAATGGCTTAAGACATGCATTTATTCTCATATCGTTGTATTCATCTTAAACTACAGCAACACAATAATGTATTTTAAATTCAGTTTTCCCCAAGACATTAAGTACTACTGCTGAATCTCTTAACACTGATTATCAGTTAAACCATCAACCATAATAACTGTTGTATTTCTCCAATGTGAATATGAATAAAGCAGGAATGGGTGTATAGGTATGTGTGTACATATAAATATATATCAGTGTTTCTCAACCTTGGCGACTTTAAGTCCTGTGGACTTCAACTCCCAGAATCCCCCAGCCAGCACAGCTGATGTATATGAATGTGCGCAGGTATATGTACAGTGTTTCCCCGAAAATAAAACTGGGTTTTGTTTTCTTTTGTCCCCTGAAAAAACGGCTAGGATTTCTTTTTTGGGGTGGGTCTAATTTATTGACCTGCCTTGCGGTGGTGGCATTGACAGCCCCGCCAAGCAGGAGCCCGCTGCTGGCCCACTTCTTCTGTGGCCGCTTTCCACCACTCGCACGGGTCGCTCTCGGCCTCCGTTTCACCATCAGAGCCCTCCCAAAAGCCCTCTGCAGCTGAGAAATGGGCTCTGGATTGATAAGCGTGGCGCCCCCTGGCTTCCAGTTTGCCTTTAGATGCCTTTCAGAAAGCCCTCTGCAGCCGATAACAGAGTTCCGGATTGAGGCCGGGGATGACACGTGCGAGTGGCAGCAAGTGACCACAGAAGGTGAGACAGGTGTTGCAATTCCACCCCTACCCTAGCTTAATTTTACCCCATCCCACCTCCTGAACCACAGAATGGGCAGCGACTTAATTAGGGCTAATTTTGAGTGCACACATTCAAAAGCATGATAGGGCTTCTTTTCGTGGTGGGTCTTATTTTAGGTACTATACAGGGGAAAACTGTATGAGATTTATTTCCGATTAAGCCAGTAGTATGGTATGCATGATTATTTAGGAATGCTATGAATGGTTGAGAAATAAATATGGGCATGTGTATGAGATATAGTTATCAGGAACAAAAAAGTATTACATGAAGATGAACCTATGAGAGATTTAGGAAACCCACAAGCAGTATGTAAATTCCAAAGTTTTAATTAAGGGAATGTCATTCTAGAAGGTGTTCTAGAAAATCTGAATGATGAAATGAAAATGACTGTAATTAAGAATTAGTGTATTTGTTCCCCAAAAACAAGTTTGTACAAATATTTGGGCTACATTATTTGATGTGGGGGGAAAAATAGCTGTTTTAAGAGGTCTGAAAAACATTGTACATTCTTTCATTGAAAGAATTCTAAAGGCATGCAATAAAATGCAACAGTTTAAGGTATTTTTCACATCTCAATATTTTAGAATGATCACCTGCAGACAAACATAACATTTTAAAACTGTTCCAAGCTGCCTAAAAAGGAAAACAAAATTACCTCCAAAAAATTTCCAGCTTATGTTTTCATAGATGTAAAAAAGATTCTTTTCTTGCTTGATCAGCAATACAGACTAAATGGCCTTTATGCCACCGATTAGAGTACAAATCGTGCAGCCATTTTTTTTCTTTACATACCCATGTAAACTATGTTCCAACTTTTCTTAACCTAACTAGTAACAGTTCCCCTTTGAAAAGAAACACTGATGTGGCTTAATAGTGATTCAGCAGTGTATTAATTCACTTCTCTACCATATCCACTCAAAGAAANTTACCTGGAATTGCGCCATTCACATTTTTTTTGCGTTTTCTATTTCAAAACAAAACTGTTTTGATTCACAGTAAATGAAGTTATACATATTCTCATTTTTCTATCATCTCTATATCCTCCACTCTCTCAATAGTCATTACAATTTTAAATTGTATGTCCCATATAGCATCTTTTATTTATTGAATTCCATTTATATTCTGCACCTTCTCTAATAAGCTCAGAGCAATTTTTAATGGCTCTCACCAATTTTCAGGAATAGACCTGTTTCTGTAAAATACCATGTACATTAAAAACACTGCATTTATAATAATTAGATTTTATATAGAGCAGTAGTTGTAGGCAAATGGTAAAAAACACTTCCTGCAGCAACAGCAAAGAACAGCAACAGATGATTGAAATCACCTTTAAACCTACAAAACAGCCATAGAGTATTTGTTTTAATGGAGTAATATACTATTCTCCATGAGCCCCTGAGAATATTTTACAACGCATTTCTTCTAGAATTCTAATCTAACAGTATTTCTCCTACTAGAATCTCATCACAGTAAAACATATTTAATTCTGCAGAACGTATTAAATATTTTTTCACTTGCTAGAATGCACAAGAGATGTGCATTCTACAGCTAAAGGAGCAATGTAACCAGTTCTTTCCCAGACTGGAGGAAAAAAACTGCACTAGTACTGTACAAACTCCAAAGTTTGAAAAAGAAGCAATTTCTTCTTCCAATATTTTATAATATTGAACAAAAACTGTATCCTAAATTAATAGAATATAATGCACAATTTAAAAAAATGCATAGCACTGGTCTCAGTTTGCAAGATTATTTGATTTACTGACAATTTATTAGCAGATAAATACTGGTAGGTTCTAATAACAGTATGTTTGAAATCCAGATGTAAATTCCAAAAACAAAATTCCTGTTTCTTCCAATCCCAAGTAAACTTTCAATTTATAAGAATGTTCTGAAAATCACAAGCAAAATTGTCTGCTGTTTTAGTAGTAGGTAGACTAACACAGTAGAACTAATGTAATTGAAATGGTCTTGGGAAGAAGAAAAATGAAGAAAAAAAACACCTTTGAAACATCCTGTGTCTGACAGACTGTGAACACCACAGAAGTGGAAAATGACAGGCAGATGGCATCTATCTTATGCGCTTT